AAGCAAAACGTAATTATGAATCAACATCTTTTCTCTTTAAAGTAAATGTTGATCTTCCCTGGACTCTTCAAACACCAGGGCTCTGGATAATCAAAAATGAGAAAGAGCATTTTTTATTTCCGTTCTCATAAATCATACAGACATTTTAGGGGGAACTTTGGCAAATATGTAAAGCACTGGGTGGTAGAACTAACAGTACCAGCAATAGTGCAATGAGAAAGAAAGAGTGAGAAGAAGAGGGAGAGGGAGAGAAGAAGAGGAAGAAGAAGAAGAAGAAGAAGGAGAAGGAGAAGGAGAAGGAGAAGGAGAAGGAGAAGGAGAAGGAAGAAGAAAGAAGAAGAAGAAGAAGAAGAGAAGAAGAAGAAGAGGAGAGAGAAGAGAGAGAGAGAGAGAGAGAGAGAGAGAGAGAGAGAGTGAGTGAGAGAGAGAGAGGGGGTGAGAGAGAGAGGGAGTGAGAGAGAGAGGAGTGAGAGAGAGAGGGATGAGAGAGAGAAGGGAGTGAAGAGAGGGAGTGTGAGAGAGAGGGAGTGAAGAGAGAGAGAGGGAGTGAGAGAGAGAGAGGGAGTGAGAGAGAGAGGGAGTGAGAGGAGAGGGAGTGAGAGAGAGAGAGAGAGAGAGAGAGAGAGAGAGAGGGAGTGAGGAGTGAGAGAGAGAGGGGTGAGAGAGAGGGAGTGAGAGAGAGAGGGAGTGAGAGAGAGAGGGAGTGGAGAGAGAGAGGGAGTGAGAGAGAGGAGTGAGAGAGAGAGGGAGGAAGAGAGAGAGAGGGAGTGAGAGGAGAGGGAGGAGAGAGAGGGAGTGGAGAGAAGGGAGTGAGAGAGAAGGGAGTGAGAGAGAGAGGGAGTAGAGAGAGAGGGAGTGAGAGAGAGAGGGAGTGAGAGAGAGAGGGAGTGAGAGAGAGAGGGAGTGAGAGAGAGAGGGAGTGAGAGAGAGAGGAGAGAGAGAGAGAGAGAGAGAGAGAGAGAGAGAGAGAGAGAGAGAGAGAGAGAGAGAGAGAGAGAGAGAGAGAGAGAGAGAGAGAGAGAGGAGGAGAGAGAAGAGGAGTGGGAGGGAAAGGGAGAGGGGGAGGGAGAAGAAAAACGAAAAGAAAGAGGATGAAGATGAAGATGCAGATAGAGTAAGAGCAAGAGGAAGAGCAAGAGTAAGTGTAAGCGTCTGAGTAAAAGGAAGATTGGAGTGAGAGTGAAATGACACGGTGGGAGAGAGAGGGAGAGAAAGAGAAAAAAGAAAGAGAGAGAGAAAGAGAGAAGGAGAGAGAAAGAGACAAAGAGAAAGAGAGAGAGAGAGAGAGAGAGAGAGAGAAGAGAGAGAGAGAGAGAGAGAGAGAGAGAGAGAGAGAGAGAGAGAGAGAGAGAGAGATGATTGACAGACTTATAAATAGGCCGATAAATAGGTAGATAAACTGATAGATAGGTAGATAGACTGATAAGTAATAAGACAGAAAGATAGATAGAGAATAAGACAGGTAGATAAGTAAATAAATGAACAGACAGATAGGAAGATAGATAGACTGATATACAGGCACATAGATAGGAGATAGATAGATAAGCAGATAGATAGACTGATAGACAGGCACATAGAATAGGAGATAGACTGATAAATAAGTATATAGACAGAGAGACTGATAGACAGGCACATAGAATAGGAGATAGACTGACAGATAATAAGACAGATAGATAGACAGAAAATAAGACAGGTAGGGAGGTTGATAAATAAGTATAGAGAAAGGAAGAGAGAAAAATAGGAAAGGGAAATTGATGCTAAATTGAGCGGATATGAGATCACGAATTACGAAAAGAAGGCGAAGGAAGGAAATAGGGAAGACGCGAAAAAAAGAAAGAAAAAGAAAAGAGAGAGAGAGAGAAAAAAAAATAAAAGAGAAGAAAGAAAAAAGATAGAGGAAAGACGTGGCTTATTTAATCTTATTTTTTTCTAGTTCTCCAAATAAGGAAGATGAAGAAAAGGAAAAGAAAAAAGAACGAAAGAAAAGAAAGAAAAAAGGAATAGGAGAAAGACATGGCTTATTTAATCTTACTTTTTTCTCGTTCACCAAATAAGGAAGACGAAGAAAAAGAAAAGAAAAAAAAGGAATAGGGGAAAGACATGGCTTATTTAATCTTATTTTTCCTCTATCTCGTTCTCCAAAACATCCAGAATTTTTTATTTTCAAATTCCTTCGACGGATAGAGAGAAGAGAGAAAAATGCAAACAAACCAAAAATCTATTTTATTGGGTCAGAAATTCCTTTTATGTGAGCGATTTCTTATCAATCTTTTTTTATGATCAAAGTTTATTACTCAGAACTATGTTGATTTTGGTTATATCTTTGACAATTTGCTGACAGGAACTTAAATAAATAGACTGAGAGATAGAAAGGTAAGTCGGTTCGTTAGGTAGGTTTAGTAGGGTAGAGAGAGAGAGAGAGAGGGGGGGGGGGGGGGTAGAGAGAGAGAGAGAGAGAGAGAGAGAGAGAGAGAGAGAGAGAGAGAGAGAGAGAGAGAGAGAGAGAGAAGAGAGAGAGAGAGGGAGAGGGAGAGGGAGAGAGAGAGGAGGAGAGAGAGGGAGAGAGAGAAGAGAGAGAGAGAGAGAGAGAGAGGAGAAGAGAGAGAGGGGGAGAGAGAGGAGAGAGGGAGAGAGAGAAGAGAGGGGAGAGAGAGGGGGAGAGAGAGGGGGGAGAGAGAGAGAGAGGGAGAGAGAGAGGGGGGAGAGAGAGAGAAGAGAGAGAGAGAGAGAGAGAAGAGAGAGAGAGGAGAGAGAGAGAGAGAGAGAGAGAGAGAGAGAGAGAGAGAGAGAGAGAGAGAGAGAGAGAGAGAGAGAGAGAGAGAGAGAGAGAGAGAGAGAGAGAGAGAGAGAGAGAAGGAGAGGAAGAGAGAGAGAAAGAGGGGGAGAGAGAGAGAGAGAGAGAGAGAAGGGAGAGAGAGGGAGAGAGAGAGGGAGAGAGAGAGAGAGAGGGAGAGAGAGGGAGAGAGAGGGAGAGAGAGAGAGAAGAGAGAGAGAGAGAGAGAGAGAGAGAGAGAGAGAGAGAGAGAGAGAGAGAGAGAGAGAGAGAAGAGAGAGAGAGAGAGAGAGAGAGAGAGAGAGAGAGAGAGGAGAGAGAGAGAGAGAGAGAGAGAGAGAGAGAAGAGAGAGAGAGAGAGAGAGAGAGAGAGAGAGAGAGAGAGAGAGAGAGAGAGAGAGAAGAAGACAGAACAGACACACAGACAGACACACAGACAGACAGAGAGAGACGACTTCAGGAATACAAGCAGAGTCACACACAGACATAAGAAAGAAAAGACCCAGACATAACTTAAAAATAACTTCTCCGCAACACAATAACTTCTCGACAAAAAAAAACAAACAAACAAAAAAAAAAAAAACACATGTCCCACGTGATCTAAATCTGTTCATGGAATCTCTCCTTCTAAGACGAGAAATATGAACTGCTTCCTACCCCAACGTTTGCACAGTAAATGGAACATAAGTACAGAATAGATTGATAGCTATATCAGAAAAAAAATATGAATCAAATACTCGTAGTCATAACATTGAGCCAAAACCAACCAACTTCACTAAAGTTTTTTTTTCTACATTCCGTACAAAGTTTACAAGTTTAATGAACTGTATGACTCAAAGTCTTAAAAGAGGAAATATTTTTATTCCTATGAAAAAAATACATGAAGGTAAAATATAATATTGAAAAATGCTATAGACTGAGATGCGAGTTTCCTTGTATATTTCCCCTATCCGTAATGGACCGAATAAATTATGGATAGATGGTCTTTCATTCCTCAAGTGCTGTTAGGAATATGAGTAGATATATATCTTTTTTAGTTTTAGATTCCCTTCACTGAAGATGTGTAGCTGTGTGTGTGTGTGTAGTTTGTTTTGAAAGTCGGGAGAAATGGACAGGTAATATTACTGCTTCTGTAGATGCCCTGTAATGTGTTCCATTTGCCAAGAACAGACTTCTTGTTTTAGTAAGTATAAGCAATTGTTTATATCAATATTTGTTGTTTGTATTTGCTTTTCAGTCTCTGGTCTAAGGCTTATGTTCTGATATAATAGATGCAGTTAGACAAAGGTAAAGACGTAGATATAACGATATATTGTAAGTTATAAGAGGCGAGAGAGTAATATTATTGGAATAAGAATAAGTATTTTTGGATACTGCATCGTACCATAGGGCAGTGAACACGATTTTTATTTAAAAGGAATGGGCGTGTATATTTACCCTTGTTCTGTGTACCTTGTTTTTTTTTTTTTTTTTTTTTACAAGGGTGAATACAGTAACACAACACAGTATTGTTGGACTATCAAATTTCTTTTTTAAAAAAGGGTGCTAACTCTTTTTGTGTACGCCTATGTACAATAAAACTATGCCGTAGAGATTTAGATGAAACATTTAGAGGGTTAAAACCAAATATACAAACTGGATATAAAAAAAATGTACGTCAATAATTGTCCTGGAAAAAATACACTATATATATTATTTTTTTACATGAGAAAGGAATCCGACAGAACATTATATGGAAGAGAAAGGTAGGAAAAAAGTTCATAAAAAGTCTCAGTATATTTTGTAAAAGATGACAGTGCGATTTTCTTGTTGAACAGAAATATACCAATATTTTTAAAACTGGTGCATAGATATGTTCGATATATTTCCAACAGGTGCAACTGATATGTATGCGTATTTTATGTGCGTGTTTTTTGTGTGTACACGTACATTTTATGCGAGTGTGTGTGTAGATCCTTTTGTGTCTATATGTGTGTTTGTTAGAATACTTACGTGTTTTTTATACAAGTTTATAATTGTTTATTAATCTGTATATTTATGCCTTTGCGTATACAAACATACCTAACATACTAATATGAATAACAAAAATCTATTATACATTCTTATATAATATTCATTTTAATATATATTAAACTAACATACACATCCCCCCCCACACCCCCCCCACGACCACATCCTCCCCCCCCCCCCTTTCACACGCCACCCCCCCCACGACGCCATCCCCCAGATCTCGAGAACTCAGGTCACGTGGTGAAGAACCCGAGGCGCCAGCCACGCCACCACCTGACCCAAGATGGACAGCACGAACACCAACACATTGACGACGGCTCCGGGATCGAGCGTGAGGTAGCACACCCCGGCCAGCACGTAAGGAACGGACGTGAACAACCCGAGGGCGTTGAACGGCGGGCATACGGTCGCCATCAAGAAGCTCTCGAAGGAGTATTTGTGCGTCTTGGTGAGAACGGCGGTCCATGTCTCCTCCTTCGTCTCCGCCATCTTGGTGACTAAGCCGATGAAGGTGGCGGATAAGACAGGGACGAACCACAGAGCCTGGTGGATGGTGCCGACGCCGCCGCTGACCAGCACGCGGGAGCCTGGGTGTAAAAGCGAAGAGAAATAGGTTTAAAATAGATCCCCTTAAAAATGGCGCCACACTGGAGAGAAAAAAATTAAAATAGATCCCTTAAAAAATGCGCCTGTGTGGTTTGTTATGTTGTGTTTGTTATGAATAAAAATTAAAAAAAAAAAAACCTTAAAATGGCGCCTGTGTGTTTGTTATGAATAAAAACCCTTAAAAATTGGCGCCTGTGTGGTTTGTTATGAATAAAACCCCCTTAAAAAAATGGCGCCTGTGTGGTTTGTTATGAATAAAAAAAATTGGCGCCTGTGTGTTTGTTATGAATAAAAACCCTTAAAAAATGGCGCCTGTGTGGTTTGTTATGAAAAAAAAAACTTAAAAAAATGGCGCCTGTGTGGTTTGTTATGAATAGATCCCCCTTAAAAAATGGCGCCACACTTAAAAGCGAGAGAGAAATAGGTTTAAAATAGATCCCCCTTAAAAAATGGCGCCACACTCAAAAGGGAGAGAGAAACGGTTTAAATAGATCCCCTTAAAAAAAAAAAAAAAAAAAATGGCGCCTGTGGTTTTGTTATGAATTAAAAAATGGCGCCTGTGTGGTTGTTATGAATAGACCCCTTAAAAATGGCGCCAACTTAAAAGGGAGAGAGAAACAGTTTAAAATAGATCTCCCTTAAAAAAAAAAAAAATGGCGCCTGTGTGGTTTGTTATGAATAGACCCCTTAAAATGGCGCCACACTTAAAAGGAGAGAGAAACGGTTTAAGATAGATCCCCTTAAAAAAAAAAAAAAAAAAAATGGCGCCTGTGTGGTTGTTATGAATAGAACCCCTATTCTTATTTTATTATTTTTTTGGCTTCTGTGTGGTTTGTTATGGAAGACAGGTTTATTTGTTGATTTATTTTTGTTTGTTATTATTATTGTAGTTATTTATTTTTAAAGTTATTGACGACGTTTGTTCTTGTTATTATTATTATTATTATTATCATTATTGTTATTATTATCATTATCATATTATTATCATTATTATTACTGTTATCATTATTATTACTGTTGTTATTATTATTATTATCATTAATATTATTATTATCAATATTATCATTATATTTTTTGGAAGGTTTTGTGTGTGAACTGTAGTCTGTCTAAAGTACAAATAATAATACTGATGACGATTAAAAAATATGATACCACGAACTTCTATAAAAAATAATTATGACTTTAATAATACCTAAAATACAAATAATAACAACCATTCACAACATAACGAACAAATAACCCTCACTATAACAACCTCATACGAAATCAAAGTGAATTCACATCAAGTCACGTGACCCACTTGGATCAAGGCCTTGCAACGCCACTTAACACTTGGAAGAACATTGCAAGACGAAGAATTATGATCAAAGGAGTAAATAATGACAAC